TGCACTTGCCGGGCAGGTGCTGTGCCACTGAGCTAAATCCCTGGTGCTCTTCCTCTCTTAAAAAAAAAAAAAAAAAGAAAGAAACTGTGGTGGGGGAAAAGGAAGGAAGGGAAAAGGAAAAATATAAAGGAAAAAATATATATATTATATATATCACACAAGATAGTTAAGATAGTACTACAGCTAGTTTTCCTTAGTTCATTGGTAAGAAAGGTCTGTGCTATTGTCTGGACAATATTTCATGCCTATATCTTGTACTCTGAATACTGCTATGTAGACAGTAATATGCAAGGTACTATTGTTACTGTCCTACTAGCCTGTTTTGAAACTCTATTTTATTATTTTTACTTTGTTTCTCTTTAAAATCAAAAAAAGTCTGGGGTGCCCAAACATTTGGTCAAATATTATTTGGAGTGTTTCTGTGAGGATATATCTTGATGAAATGAGCATTTGAAACAATTAAACTGAAGAAAATGATCGCCATCCATTATGTGCGTCGAAGGCCAAGTGGACCAAAGGGCTGATCTCCCTCAGGTGAGGCTGCCTGCCCAACTGCTGGAGCAGGCACGAGGGCCTTTGTGCCTTCACATGCAAACTTCAGATGGCTTTTCTTGGATCTCAAGGTTAACGCATTGGCTCTCTTTGGTCCCTAGTTTGCTGACCAGATCTTGTGACTAGTCAATTTCCATAATCACAAAAGTTAATTTCTTTCGGTGTAGGTGAAGACACAAATCAAGGACCAAATACATTGCATTCCAGGCCACACAACACTCAAGGCTGAGAGTTTATGCTTTGATGTCTTTTCCCCTGAGGAGCTGTTCAGTTTCCTCTTAGGAGCCCATGCTTGTGTTTTCAGACCTGCACTGGCAGGAGCTGCTCAGTGAGGAGGCCTCCCAGAGACCCTATAGTAGAATTTTTTTTTTTTCTTCTTTTTGTCCTGAGCTACTCTTGCTTTGTCCCCTCTTTATTTTCAGTGACATCTAAGCAGCCTGCCTCCTCAGGTACACTCTCCCTTTGTTCCACTTTCCTAGCAGCTGCATTTCTGCAGTGAAGATGAGTGCCTCTGCCTTTGCCCTACAACAGGGGTCCCCAACCCCAGACCATGGACGCATTAGGAACCTGCCCCCTACCCGCACAGCAGGAGGAGAGGGTGCGCAGCAGGTTAGAAAGAAACTTTGTCTGTATTTAGAGCTGCTCCCCGTTATTACTGCTCTCATTGCTACCAGAGCTCCTCCTGCTGTCAGATCAGCAGGAACATTAGATTCCCATAGGAACGCAATCAGCATTATGAACTGCGCATGTGCGAGAACTATGTTGCAAGCGCCTTCTAATCATCCGGGACCCTCACCACCACCACCACCACCTTGCCCGCCGGCACCACGGAAAAAATTGCCTTTCATGGAATCAGTCCTAGGTGCCAAAAAGGCTGGGGACCTCATCTTCTGACGTGAGGCCTCTTTTCAGAGGGCTCAGCTTAGTTGGGCCAGTGTATCTGGTCCTACCTGTCAAGGTAAGGCCCTCACAGTTGAAAGCCTGCCGAGCACGCTGTGTGGTGCTCAAGGAACCCAGCTGCCTTGCACACAAAGTACTACTATGGCTCCCAATGGTTAAAAGCTTTAATGAAAGCATATTTTTTTATGGTTGAATCTTTGTTGCAGTCACAGCTACATCTGTCAGGAAGCAGGAATAAGAAAGATTGGGAGAAGCTAGGAGTGAAGGAGAATGCATGTATGTGTCCTATTGGGTGTGTCTTCCTAGTCTGACCACAGCTTTGACACAGTTGACTGCTTCTTCTCTCAAGATGTCCTTCTGTCAAGCTTTTGCACCTCCGAACAGTGAACTGGGAGTGGGGGAAGGTGAAAAATTTGTTCACCGATTCTAATATTTCATTGTCAAGGTCAACTTCCCTACACATGGGCAGGTCAGCCCAGTAGGGGGCCCAGGGTGGAGGTGTGGTCCACAGCGTGTGTGATTGTTACTTGTGACTTGTCAATCTGACTTGAGTAAGAACCTCCGGGCAGATTAGTAAATTCTGGGTGTGTCTGTGGATGTTTTACATACAGGCCAGCAAATTAGGAGAGAAGATCGACCCTGAATATGGGTGGTACCAATCAGTAAATAGAATTGAAATTTGGACAGAGTAAAAAGGGAAAGAGAGGGAAGTGTTTCTCTGTTTTGGAAGAACTCTAGTCTTTGCCATTGCCTTTGGTCATTGATCTCCAATTTCTTCAGACTTCCAACAGTTTCTTCAGACTTCCAACAGTTTCCTCAGCCTTCAGTGCAGACTTCTATCAGTGATTCTAGAGTGAGCTTCCAGGCCTTTGACCGGTACTGGGTCCTCTGGTCCTCCAGTGTATGTTTTGGATTCTTCCCCTTCTGATCCTGCAGACCACCATTTTGACTCCCCTGCTTCTGATCCTGTCAGCCTACCTAATAAACCCATTTGTATAATTATATATATTTTATAATGATTCTTTTTCTGTAGAGAACCATAACTAAGGCACTGTACAGAAGGGAGATGTTATCCAGTCATAGGCCCAAGTGCCAGGAGGAACCGGGACCCCAGCCTGGCAGTTGTACTGACTGGAATCCATAATCCAGGATCAGCACAAGCTGTGGCTACATCCACTCCAGCCAGCACAGTCCAGCACACCTGCTTGGCACAGTCCCAGCCCCATAGCCCCAGGACAAAGTTCTAGCAACCTGCCATAAAACCCTGCACCCTGTGGCTTAGAGTTCCACTGTGAGGTTGAGTAGCCAAAAAGCAAAGCAATACTAAACAGTTCCAAATCAATTGTGAACAGCTACAGTAAAAAACCCACATGACGGTGCAGGGTAAGCACCACTGATGTGTAAAGCCATCTGCCCTAAGCCACAGTAGAAGCCCCTACTCTTGCTGTGCACTTCACTGTCCTGAACTCTTCTTCTCTGTTCTATTTCCCAAGGTTTGAAGGCTTGTGTGCCAGCTTTGAGGATGAGGTTATGTTCCTGAAGCTGCAGGAGCCTCTCTAGAGAGGCAGGTCCTTTGAAATAGGGTAGAGGAGAAGATGAGCTCCTGTAGGCTGCTTTTGGCTGTGAGAAAGAGAGACAGACATAGGGGCTGGGCTGTGCAGGTCTATGCTTTCCTTCTCAACCCTCCAGGGAGCTAAGTAGTTCTTTCTTCTCTGGGGAGTGAACAAGGGAGTGAGAAAAGAGGGGCCCATAAGTATGTTGTCAATGGGGCTCCCTTAATGTGGGAGAAATGGCAGAGTGGTGAGAAAGTCCTCCTCTCTCACACCCCTAGGTTCCAAAGCACTGTGTCAAGAACTTCTAAAAGCCCTTTCACTTGGGTGGGCTCTGGGGTCACTCCAGGATGGATCTGCAAGTTCCTGAGCTCAACAAATCTTCCGAGAGTTGAGGAGCTATCTTCCATTCTCTAAGGGTTTATTTAGGAACACTGCTAAATCACAAAGGAAGAAAATGCCCAGCACACTCACTGGATCACTACCTCCTCCTCCATCATCACCTTTAATGGACTTTAGACTTCACCTGAGAAGGGACTGTTGAGGAACCCAAAGCCCTGAAGGGCAGGTGTGGCCACAGTTAATCCTGTGGGATGTGTCTAGAAGCTTCTCTTCAGAACAAGGAGGTACCTGTCAATAGTTGAACTCATCTTTGGGGTTATAGGTATTAGCCTGGGAAAACAAGAAAAGTCCCTTTCAGTACAGTTATTCCCTAAGAACTGAGCATCTGCTTTACCAGGCCCTGCACAGTGGGTTGGAGGGATGACATGAGGATGAGGAAGGGTTACACACCAGAGCAAGTGGTAACAGCTGCTTGGGAGGCTGACGTAGAAGGATCACAAGTTTGAGGTCAGCCTGAGAAATCTAGCCAGATCCTGTTTCAAGATAAAAAATAAAAAGGACTTATTGGGTTTTCTTTTGTATTTCAGATACCCACAGGACATGTAAGTTTTGAACGAATAAAAAAAAAATCACGTCAGACTTATAGGTAGACCTGGTAGAAATGGTTTTATTGGTATCCTAAAATACTCTGAGCTCTGAATACAAGTACTGAATTAACATGGAGTAAGAGTGGGCAGAAAAAGATGCGGATGACTCTGTAGCGATGTTGTGTATGCATCAAGTGGGCTTACCGGCATTCACTGTGACAGTCAGTGATTAAAAATCAGCTGCATGCCAGGCACTGTGCTGAGCCCTGCCTGTACATCAGTTAGACATGGGCTTTGCATTTAAGGCTCTCTCACCTTTGCTGAAAAGACAGAAATGCCTACATCTCTGTAACAGATGAGTGATTTGGAGGAGAGGACACAATCTGTGGGACAGGGGCCCTGGCTTTACTTTAGTCTGAGCTCTGCCACTAACTGCTCTGGTTCTCAATTTCCAGCTACAAAATCAGAGCTGTCTTCATAGCATTTAAAATTCCTTCCTGACATCAACATTAGTGATTCCACATCCCTGTGTAAAAGTGCCATAGGAGCCCAAAGGAGAGACTGCTGAATGTGGTGGGGCTGACGTTTGAGTCAGGCGTATGGAAATGAGCAGAATTCCTGGAGAAGGAGATGACAGAGAAAGGCCTTCCAGAAAGAGGTAATGCAGAAAGGCTGTGCTAGGACTGCAGAACAGCGCTGTCTAACTAGGTGCAGGTCCTGGAGGCCATGGCATCAGGAGAAGAATGTAGGGCAGCAAATAGGTGGAGACCCTTGAGTGCCCTAGGAAGGATTTTATTTCAGGGGTATGGGGTTTAGAAACAATCCCGTGACACAAAGCACTGGGGTCAGAAATCAAGAGAAGTTGTGATGAGCATCACTAGCGTGTAACAAAGGCTCCCATGGCTCAAAGGTGAGAGAGAATCACCTTGAAAAGGGCATGTTTATTCACTGTTTTCACATTGAGATTGTAAGGCCAGAGAGGAGCTACACCAAGATGGTGGCTGCCGGGGCTGGGGATTTAGCTCAGCGGCAAAGCGCCTGCCTGGCAAGCGCAAGGTCGTGAGTTCGGTTCCTGGTACCGGAGAAAAACCAAAAAAAAAAAAAAAAAGATGGTGGCTGCCACCTTCCTCTGCCTGGAGTGGCTGATCAAACCCAAGATGCCGCGGAGAAGTTCTCTTGGCCCCAGCAGATGGGGGTTCTCTGGCTAAAGGATGGCTCAGGAGCACGTGATCCACATGAATGGCCCCTCTGGAGTCACACAGAGGGAGCCAGACCTAAGGGACTTTGGTTCTCCCCATCTTCCCTGGACCAGTGGCATCTGTTACCTGAAAACTTATTAGAAATACAGAATTTCAGGTTTCACCCAGACTTACACAATCAGACTCTTTCATTCTTACAAGATTCCCAGGTAATCCAGAATAAGCACGTTAAAGTTTTATATGGTCTCTAGCTTGCTGCATGGCCTTTTCCTCACCCCAACTCCTTCTCTTTATTTCTCACTTAAGAGAAAGAGGAGCCATTCCTGAGCTTTCTAGGGACCATGCTGGATCAGAGGCCAGTCTGATTAACTACAGTTTCTTCCCCATTCATTCATATGTTCGTTCAGTCAAATACTGTTCGAGCACTTCCTAGATTCCAGTATATATATACAACCTGCCACTCTGGTGCTCCTGGCCTTGTGCTGTTACTTCTATGGGTGGGAAAAGACCTGGGGTGGAAAGTCTACTTACTTGAGTGGGTAGATGTTGGTATACAGGCAGGAGAGAAGTAACTCCAGTATGCGGTGCTGACCCTGGAGTCTGAGGCAGGTAGAAGCGTATCAAACACCATATTGTTGGAGGGAGGCCTGTAAGGAGTCCGTTGTTGGGGTGGGGTGGTGTGTTTCTTGTTTGCCAGAGGACTGCAGTAGCTCCCAGGCCATGGCGATTGACAACCTCCATGCTGGAGCTGATGAGCGGTTCTGACAGAGGGATGGTGGGTGCCACTGAGGAAGCCAGGAGACAGAAAGGCTCTGCTTTGAGAATAATTTATCAATAAATAAAAAGCAGCACTAATGAAGGGCTGTAGCTGAGGAGATGGGCGGGAATGCAGCAGAACATTTGACATGAAGGATGCTGCATGTGACGTGGGAGAGTTTAAATTCTTCCACTCAGTGCTCCCACTCCCCCTAGGAGCATTGGGGTGCAGGCGTGAGATCACAGCTGGGAAGTCATGTGAACTCATCTGTGAGGAGCCCAGGTGGCCGACTGCTGGGTGCCGGAGGACAGGGTACAGGCCTTCACTTGGGAGTAGATGACAGAGGCACCCTAGGAGGGAAGAACACTTAGATGAAGGCCAGAGCCAGTGACCCACAGGGGAGGCCACACTGGTCAGGAGACTCACCTCGTTCCTGAGGATCCTGGATCTGGAGGCTGCTGTGGAAAGAAGAGGTGTGCTCAGCCATGGAGGGATACACAGGTTTTCTCTGTGCCCCTGGTTGCTGGAACCACCTTCTCTGCCCTCTGTCTCCTCCCTGTCCAGCAGCTGCCCCCCCTTCAGCCTTGCCACTCCTGGGGCCTGGGTCAAGTCACTCAACTTCTGCCTCAGTTGCCTAGAACCTTTAGATTCTGTATTATACAGGTGAGCACAATGTGATCATATGCATCCTTACAATCAGAGAACTTTTCCCAGAAGTGATCAGAGGAAAGACCAACTATGAAATAATAGTTAGCAAGATGCTGCAACATTGCTGGCTATGAAGACGGAGGAAGGAGACATATCCCAAGGAAAGTAGAGGCCTTAAAGTGCAGAAGTCAAGAAACACGTTCACCCTCACAACCTGCAGGAAGGCACACAGCCCTGCCATTAGCTTGATTTTAGCTCAGTAAGACCTATGTCAGACTTCTGACCTATAGAGATGTCAGATAATCGGTTTGTGTTATTTAACCCCATCAAGTTTGTGGTAACCTCTTGCAGCAGCAACAGTAAACTAACACAGGCTGGAAGGTCCCATGAACTGATGTATTAATGTCCCTCTCCAAATACATATGCTGAAGCTCTAACCCCCAGTGTGATGGTATTTGCAGATGGAATTTTCAGGATAAATAGCTCATGGTGGAATTAATGTCCTTATAAAATAAGACAGGAGAAAGGTGATCTGTCTACTTTGCAAGGATACAGCAAAACAGCATCTGTCTGCAAACCAGCGAAAGGGCCCTCATCTGGAACTGACAATGTCAGCACCTTGCTCTTGGACTTCCAGCCTCCAGAACTGTGGCTAATAAGTACTTGTTCTTCAAGCCATCCAGTCTAGCATATTCTGATATACCAGTATGAATTAAGACAGCAAGGAATAATAGCCCCACTCCATTTTACAGATGAAGACACTGGAGCTAGGAGGAGTTCGGTGACAGCCCAAGGGTGATGTTATGCACGTGACACTGAGGCCATGTGTAGAGAACAGAGAAAGTATCACTGCATGGTGGGGTGGGATTGCCCTCAAACAGTATATGCTCAAGTTAAGAAGCCCTCTGCCCTACTGTGAGGGATAGTTCTGTGCCTGGTTAGTCAAGACCTGCTGAGGAGGTGGACACTGAGCAATATTGGCTGTCAGAGCTGAGGTTGGCCAGAACAGAGACTTTCTCAGATCTTACCTGCATGTTTATTTTCCTCTTGGTTTCTTCGCACTTCTGAGTAAACCACGTCTCCTCCTCTAGGATTTACTTAGAAACAAGTAGAAGTTTCAGGGGGTACCAAGGTACTTGGCTGTTTTCTGAGCTCCTCCCTCCCTTCCCAGACAGTTTGTTCTCTGGAAGAACTGTGTGTGGTCCCTCCTCATCTCCTGCCCGACCCCTCCCCCACACCAACCTTTTGGTGCCTGCCAAAAGACGGGACCCTCTGTCCTTACCATTGATGTACACTGGTTGCAGTTCTATCCAGCCTGGTACATTGTGGTAGGTGTGCTCTTGGGGGTTCGAATCTGAAGGGCTCCTGTGAAACACAGAAATAGTTGTTTTCCAGGAAGTCTGAAAAAACAGCTATGATGTTCACTTTCAGTTGATGAGGTTTTACTCTAGGATGATGGCCAAGTCTAGAAACATAGGCAAACACATAAGAAGTTGTCTATGTATGTTATGTTATAAATCTTGAGAAATTTGTATCACCTGGCTTTTCAGACTTTATATCCCCCTGATATATAGCAGGCACTGAGTTAATGCTTAGAACAACATTGCATTAGTTCTATTTTCTCCCTAGCTTGCAGATGAAAAAATAGAGTTTCCATGCTTCAGTGACTTATGAAGGCCATGTAATTAGAAAGAGGAGGCTGCAAGATTCCAATGAGGCTCCAAAATCTCGACCTTTAGAAAGATCAAAGGCTTATAAATCAGTAGTGAGAAAGGCTCAGAGGAAGTCTGGATGGTTTTGATATTGCTACCATATCCAAGGATAGTTTAGGAGCCATGATGTGAGTCCTAAAGTCAGCCATTAGAATCCAAGATGGCAGCCCTTCTTCATAGGCACCCCTTTTGCGGGGGAAGTGATCTCTGGGTGACCAAGTTTTATGGCTCCACCTTCTTGGCTGTCATTACCACCAGAATTGATTAGGCTGACCATATGCAGAACTTTCCAGGCTAATTAAACTAAATAGTTTCAAGATATGTGTGGATTTATAATTGGTCACTCAGATAAGCAAGTCAACAATGGTACAATGTACAAGGAAGTGAGATAATAAGTGAAAATCAACTAACACTTGAGAAGAGGGCCCATGAAGATAAGGTGGTCGGTGAGATAATGCTAAGAATTGCCTTGAGTTACCTCATGGGTGGTGGCAATCTAAACCGGGTACTACATCAACAACAAGCCAAGAAACTGGACATTTGGTGATAACCAGATTCATTCCATTTTTTGACCCTGTGGGCATTTCATTAGCTACACAGAAATATAGCCCCAGTCTTACCTAGAACAGTGAGAGGCAGACCTGTCTCCTGAAAAACAAAGCACAGGGGTATTGGATTCTAACCAAGGAAAGCTTCACAAGGACACAACTCACAGCAGGCTCACACAGAGATTTCTGGGAGTTGTTGTCCCTGAAGTTCTAATCCTCCTAGCTATGCCCAAGGAAGGTGGTAGAAGGGACAAAAGCTACTAAACTATTAACCCCAGTCTCCAGTGGGGTGCAGCGATAAGTTGAAAGGGGAATACACAGTCCCCAATCTCTTAACCTAGAGTTTTAAAGATGACAGTCTGTAAAAACTATAAACAGTCTAATAGTCACAGGTAGAAAATAGACTTGATCACCTATAAAAATGCTGTACATTTAAAAAATCAGTAAGTTACCAAATCCTATTTGGTTTCTATGTTTAATTCTACTTCTCATTCTTTCTCTTCCTCTTTCCATTCCTTGGGGAGTCTTGGGAAAGTACAGAGCAAGAAACACTGCCATTTATGAAGTTGGATAAACTCCATCTCATTAAGGCCTGTTCCACCCCATAGGCTGTTTCAGCAGCTCTGCATTTGGTAAAGAGGACATCTAGGGGACCCAGAGGGACAGATGAAAGACTACGCAATGGGGGAGGAGGAGGTATTGAGACCCAGTAGTCACTAAGTCAGCATGAGTCTGAGCAAACCAAGATGGGAAGGGTATAAACTCAAACACAAGTGTGCCAGGGAGCTACCTACTTGCTTTTCTTGAGAGCCAGAAGTAAAACAGCAGTGCTCCTGCAGCAAGGCCTGCCATGCTGAGTAGTGCCCCAGTGACTCCTGTAGCTACAGCACCTCTTCTGTTCTTGGCCAGCCCTGCAAGGTAGACCCTGTGCATGAGCCCCAGGGAGAAGCTGTCTCAGTCTCTGAAAGGGATGCTTGCGAGGAAGGATGGGCTGAGGTGATCAGTTCCTAAGGTTAAGCAGGTGCTGGTGTGATACAGGAAATGGCTTGTGCCTTGATCAGGAAGCTGGGCTTGGCGCCTCAGGCAAAGATTGAGGGTCAAGATGGACGGCAGCCAGTGAGAGAAAAGGCAGGCAGCCTCTCTACATTCAGCGCTGCTCTTTTTCTCCATACACCTGCCACATACTGTCACTTCAGAATACAACGGTTGGAGAGTTATCATCACAGAGTGTTTGAGAAGCACTCTTCCTGATCAAGCATCAGGAGGATTATCAGAGTGACATTGGAGCACATAGTAGGTCTCTTCCTGTGGCTTGAGCATAAGAAACCTACCTGTGATAAAAAGTGTCACCACCTCACTCTGCTGGGCCCCAAGGCCATTGTCAGCCTCGCAGGAGTAGTTTCCAGAATGTTCTGCAGTCAGGGAGAGGTTGAAGGACACCCCTTTTCCAGAGAAAGCCGAGTCGTTCCTCAGGGTGACATTCTCATGATAAAATCGGTACAGGATTGGGGGAGAACCTCTCAGGGCCTCACAATGGAGCTCCATCTCATCCCCCACCACAGCCTGGGCCCTGGGGACCCTGAGAGTGAGGACAGGGCGGGACACTGGAACTGAGCAAAAACAAAATTTCAATAGTAGCTTCTGCTTTAACATATTTCTTTTGAGACAGGGTCTTGCTAAGTCAATAAGTTATCCAGATTGGGTTTGAATTTGCAATGCACCTGCCTCAGCCTCCCAGAGAGCTAGGATTACAGATATGTGCCACTGTGTCCTGCCTCCTTCAAATACATTTGTAAGGAAAAGAAAATATTAAAGCAAATGGAAAATGTCAGGTTTCATTCAGTTTAGGAAAAAATTGAAAGACATGATAAAATAAGCTAATTACTTTGATCTGCAAATTGTTTTTCAAATAGAAATGTATAGTAGAAAAATGTAAACAGTATGAGTCACCAAAAATTTCTAATAGCTAATAAATATATGAAATATTCTCACCTGCATTATTAATTAAACACATACAAATAAAAATAAGTATAAATGATATTCCTTTTTGCTTCATTGGATTGCTGTTCCTTAGTAGACTGGTTTACTGATGGAGTTGTAGATAAACAGGTTATTTCCTATACCCTAGGAGGGAATGTAAATTTAAATATACTGCCTTGAATGGCAATGTGAGAATACATACAAAATTCACAAAACATATAAACTTTGACCCAGAAAACCTACTTCTAAGATCATGTCCTTTAGGGATACTGATCTAAGTAGGTCAAGATATTTGCACAAGAATTTCTAGTATGGCATTTTTATAATAGCTAACAACTTGTAATACTTTAGTAGACTGGGTCATGAAATATTAAAATATCCAAGATGTATAAGATGTATTTTTAAATTGACATGCAATTTGCATAGCTACCTGTGTAATATGATCCTACTTTTGTAAAAAAGTAATACATGTCTTGGTGTTTACACTTATATTTCTCTATAAGTACTGTGTGCTAACTGATTGCACCACTGGAGCCCCTACAGAACATTTCTGAAGGGTGCATATGAAATGGTTAGCAGTGATTGTCTTGGAAGAGGAAGTCGAAAGAGAACTTTTCAATGTGGGTCCTTTTGTATTATTAGCACTTTTATAATGAAGATTTATGTACTATCTCAGGATAACAACTTATTAAAAACTCTAAAAACTTATGTTAAAACATGGCCCGTGAAGGATGAAGAAATGTCACAATGTAGAGTAATGTAAAAAATTGGATAAGGCCGTGTTTCAATCTCATTTTCCCATTACTAGCTGTATCTTTAAGCCAGTTATTTCATCACTGTAAGCCTCAGTTTTCTCTCCTGCAAGGTGGGAATGAATCTGTCTCCCAGAAGTTTATCTTAATGATTAAATGAGATACTACATGACCATTGCACAAGGCCTGCAATGATTGAGGCTCAGTTAGTATTGATGATGTCGATAATGATGAAAACAGTTTTTTTTCTCTCTCTCTTTTTAATAGTTCTTATTCTCCCTGATTCATAGCTTGATTCCAGGACTTAGACAAAATTCATCCTGGCTGGGCAAGAAGCCCTAGCTGTGATAATAAAAATATCAGAATAACATGCAAGAAATTATAGAAACAAGGGAATGAGGATGAGCAGAAAATTACGAGCAACTACTTTGAAGATAACAATATGCAATATAATAACCATTGTTAATTTCCTATCATTTTGTTTGGAAAATTTGTACTGTTTTATTGGTTTTTTGCTCTTTAAAAAGCTCTTAGGCACAGAGTGTAAGAAGTGTGAGGTGCTGGTGTCCTTGGTTGTGAAATGAGGACAGCAGCACTAAGTCAGGGGAACATGGCTGGGTGGTTGATAGAAGAGGTCAGTTAGTAAACTGGCAATGGTCCTTCAAATCTCAGAGGAAAACTGGTGGAGCCAGGTGTTGCTGGTGAGTGCATGGGTGGGTGGGTCAAAGGAGAGAAGAGTGAGCTACTTGGGTGGGAAAAATCATATCTGAGGTCAGGTCACTTCTTAGATGCCAGAAAAAGGTGGTTATGCCAGCAATCTTGAGTAGAAGCTGGATTCTGGACTGGGATCCCCAAATCAACCTGCTCATTTAATTTTGTCACTATTCCCTGTAATACCCAGGAATCCAGCCTAGAGAGAGTGAGAGTTTCAGCCTATATTTTGCTTTACGTGAATAAGAGTGTGTTTACCTACCATTGTGTGGTCTTTGGTTTTTAAACTAAATTCCAGGGGCAAGGATAGGTAGCTTTTCCTTTTGTACATCTTTTTTCCAGAAACCTTTGAGTCCCACTATTTCCCTCTATCTAGTATGATATTTTTCCCACTTTTTAACTCAAAAGATTGAAGTCAGTGTAGAAAGGATATTTTGGCCAAGCTCATAGAGCTAGTTATTTTCAATGCCTAGTCTGGAATATTCATCTCAACAGCTCCAAGCATACTTTTGCCATACCCATTTCTCCCTAAGCAAGCATTTGGAGTCTGGCTAATAAGAGGCCATTGCTGAACAGATCCAAAGTTTTCAAGATTTCCCTCTGTTATTATACTTAGTGACAAGAGGTCAAAAGACAATCTGTAGAATGGATGGATTTGATTGATGGTGGCCATTTTCATTTCATTTCATCCTGCTTGCCTGGTCTCTGCCCTAGTCACCTGGGTCCTGTCTTTTAGGAATCACAGAATGTCTCTCCTGAGAAGCTGCACAGGTACCTAACGGTAACACAGTCTTTCAATACAAAGTAAGTAAAATTTATATCTGAGATAATAAAGGAAGCTCAAGAACAGAGGTTTGTTGGGAGTGAATGAAAGATGCACGCAGACAGGAATGGCCTAATATTTTCAGGGGCAGAGGAACCCGTTCTCAGAACTCTTTGGTTTCTCTTTTGCATCATAATTTCAGATCAGAATATAGTCTCAGTTCTAGAAAGTCTTCTAAGCATTGTTAATAAGGAGTTTTAATTCTAGAAGACTGCTTAAGTGTGTTGCCAAAGAAGTCCAGGTTCCTGAAACCATACTATAGGAAGGATCTCAGACTTCAAAGAGGTGTTCTGCAGACAAGATGTATGTCCAGATGCCACCACAGAGGGTAGCTTTAGCCTCATATGCTGCTGCTGGGGACAGGAGGCACTGTCAGATCCTTGGTTGTGCTGCTGGTGAGCACAGCCAACTCACCTATGACTTTGAGTGTCTTCACCTCACTGAGCTGGGCTTCAAGGCCATTGGAAGCCTCACAGGAGTAGTTTCCGGAGTGTTCCTTGGTCAGAATGAATTTGAAGGAAGCTCCTCCTCCAGAAGGGGCCGAGCTGTTCCTCAGGATGACATTGTCACGGTAAAACTGGTACAGGATGGGGGGAGAGCCTAGCAGGACCTCACAGTGAAGCTCCACCATATCCCCCTCCACACTCTGGGCCCTGGAGCCCCTGAGGGTGAAGACAGGGCGAGAGACTGGAACTGGAGGAGGAAAAACAACCATGAGCTCCTTCTGTTTAAATATATTCTGCCGCACTGAACATATTTTAGTCAGGAAAATATTTTCCTTAGATTTTAATGACCTTGTAATATTGCTGAGAACACATCTGTAATTTCTTCAGATGGCAGGAGACAGTAGCATTTGCCTTGTTCTATTTGTAGTTTGGAGTACTTACATATACAAACTGCATTTGAAGAATCTGAAAGTAAAGATTAAGCTGAAACCTGTGTATCTGAGAAGTCAGAGCACTATTGTGGAAAAGGAGAAGTTCAACAAAGTTCAATAAAGACCTGCTGTTTACATAGCCAGGGATATAATTGAGTCTGGACTGCATCAAGCCCAAAAGGTAATAATCATTGCTCAGTGTTTGCCTACTCTTACACTGATTCACCAAAAATTAAAGAGTATAAGTAAATAAAGACCCCCAGACTGCCATATAGGGTGGACATTCGGTGGTGAGAAAGGCAGACCTTGTTCTCACAGAGCCTACAGTCTAGGGAAGTGGTAGGCAGCATTAAGGAAAAGCATAAATAAAGAGTTCAAACACTGATGACTGGTACAAAACAAAGGCAGACACGGTGCTTAAACTGGCACTGATTCTCGTGTGGCTTATTCAGGAGGAATCTCCAATGAAGAATGAAGTAACAAGGTTGTGAGCTAGACAGACAATATGTGCAAAGGGCCTGAGTTGAAAAGAATATTGGTATATTTGAGTTATTGTCCCAAGATAGGAGTAGCACTGAGAAATGTCCAAAGAGTACCATAAAGCACCAGGGAAGGGCTTTGTAAGCCATGCTGAGGATTTTGACTTTTGTTCTCCAAGCAATGGGAAAACCATTTTGACCTCAGGGTACAAAATAAAATGCAGAGGGAGAGAAGTGGTCCAGAAAAGCTTAGTGTCATGCAGTAGTTGAAATAATTGATTTGACTAGGATGGTGGTAGTAGAGCCAGAGAAGACTGAAAAGAGATCTAGGAAGTAGAATCAATAGGGCTGGTTATGAGGGATGAAGGAGAGAAATGTCTAGGAAGGCTCCTAGATTTCTGCTCCATGTATCTCAGTGAAGGAAAATGTCTTTCACAGAGGTAGGGAACTTGCAAGGGACATAGCTCTGAGAGGAACGTCAGGAGACTTTTAGAGATGATCAGGTTGAAGAGCTTTTGACAAATATGAGTGGCAATGTGGCATCTGTAGGTGTCCAGGCAGGAGGTCCATTGTAAAGATAAAAGTGTAAGACTCATTATTTATAGATGATAAAACCATTTACAAATAATATGCCCAGGTTCATCCAGAGAAAGAATATGACTAAGAGGACACACGTCAAAGCTCTGGAATATGCCAGTGTTTAAAGATTACCTATTGGTGAAAGAATCAGTAAAGAAAACTGAGAAGGCGTGGCCAAAGAGTTAAGCCAAGAGAAAGTGGATTTACTGAAAGTAAGAACGGAGGATTTCAAGTAGAAAAAATGGTAAAGAATATATAGTATTTCTTAGAGGTCAAGTAGGAAGAGGATTGGAAAACAGTCACTGGCTCTAAATACATGGAAGTCAGTGGTGATATTTGTGAGAAACAGTTGAAGGAACCTAGTGGGTCAGAAGTAGTAGGTAATGAGGCATTGGAGGCAACCTGGGTAGCTCATTTTTTTCAGAAGTTTAGCCATAATGGAGCAGTGAATTGAGTAGAATCAAATGGGGATCAATACAGGGTTCTTCTTAGTTGTGGGAGAAACACAGCATATTAAGTGCCAGGGGAAAGAATCCCACAAAGGTGTTGAGAGCCATAGAAAAGACAAGAATAACTGATTATATGAACTTTCCAAGAAGGAATGAAAGGATAAAATCTAGGGAACAGACAGAAATGATTTCTGACAGAGGCAGCAGGATCTTCTCCATGTCCAAAAGGAGAAGAGATTATTCACTGAGTGGATACAGAGACATTACTCAGTTTAGAGGCAGGAGTCAAGGGTGGTATTGTCTGTTGAATGAGATAGTGAGTAGAGGTGTTAACGAATTGGGTGTTCTGTTGAGATCTGAGAACATTAGTAGCAAATGGATTTGGAGGAAGCAAATGGATGATTAGGAGGTTGTGCTCAGGCAATAAATGCTTAGAATTGTCATTTTGGTAATGGAGCAGTGTGTGTAGGTAGATGTGGATGGCTGATGTAGGAGGACAGGCCACAGTACAGATATTAGAGTTATGAAATGATGACTATATATGGACTAGAGCAGAAGACTGTGAATATAGTGCCAAAGCCTGTACTGAAAATAGGCATGACAAGGGCCAAGTCAAGACAAAGTGAGATGGGCTGATACTGCTGAATGGAACAGGGAAATATAAGAAGGCAGGAGAATGACATTGGAATCTCTTCTAATAAAGTCTTCTGGCAGGAAACTCAACTTGTTTCGCCACAGGTGTAAAAGCCAGGAGGTATTTGTGAACCAGCAAGAGAATGTGTTTACTGATTGGCAAACAGAAAAGTACAACTAAATCTCTCCTAAAATAGAACAAAATGGACTGCACAGCTTCTTTTTCTATATTCAGTGTTGATCAGACCATAGTTTATGTTTTGAAAAGCTTTTACTCCTATGTTAGGGGCACTTGTGTCACAATGGTGGAAGAGTATTTCCACTAAGGACAAGTACAACTGTGAGGAAAGTGTACATTCTTAAAAATGTAAAATCGAAAATTCCCTGGGGATACTGTGTAATGGAAGGCCTGCATGATGTGACATAGCAGGTGGTTTTGTGAAAACTGAGTTTCAATCTTGCTTACAGAGGATGGTGGGGAGATGGTCTGTCTCTTCCACTGCTAGCTGGAAGGGTCAACTTACCTTTGACATTGATTGTCACTGTATCACTGCGTTGCACCTTCTGACCATTGCTGGCCTCACAGAAGTAGTTTCCAGAATGTTCTTCAGTGAGAGTGAATTTAAATGATGCTCCTCCTTTGGAGGGCGATTCGATGCTTTTCAAGATTACATCCTTTTGATAAAACAGGAATAGGATTGGGGGAGAGCCTTTCAAGACCTCACAGTGAAGCTCCATCACGTCCCCCACCACAGTCGGGACTCTGGGCGCATGGAGAGTGAAGATTGGAACGGACACTGGAACTGAGGGAGGAAATGAATTAGTTGACACTGGTATCTTTTGTTTAAAAAATCAAACACCTCCTCATTAAAAAAAGTACAAAATTATATAAAGTAAAAATAAAAAGTTCTATCATTCCTTTTCCAGTTTCCATATTTTTAATTTCCATATTTTTGAATATTTATTGATAATCTAGATCTTTTCTATGTATAAGTACACTCATTCATAGCAACACATAAATAAACATAAAAAATGGACAGGACCACAAATACACAATGCTCTACAACCTGCTCTTTTCCTTAGCAACATTGCATGGACATCTTTCTATTCTATTACTTGAAGATTTGCTTTATGCACTTTGAAAAATCTACTTCATCAATATGTAATTTATACACAATGAAGTGCAACTTTTTAAAATTACAACTTGATAATTTTGGATCAATGTTTTCTCATTACTTTTTACAAGCCACACAATATTTCATGGTATGGATTTATAATAATACATTTAAGCAGTTCCTCATTGATAGATGTTTATGTTGTTGCTGCTTTTAAAATTTTTGAGTAATATTGCATTAAATAATCGTATGCTATATCATTGCACATTTGTGCAGGCATTGTGTGTATGTGTGTGTGTGTGTGTTTGTGTGTGTTTTACTGGGAATTGAACTCAGTGCCTTCATACTGATCTATATCCTCAACCACCTGTATTTATTATTTTGAGACAGGGTCTGGCTAAATTGTCTAAGTTGCCCAGGCTGGGCTTTAGCTTAAGATCCTTTTGCTTCAGCCTCCCAGAGCACTAGGATTATAGGTATGTGCTACAATACCTGCCTTTGTGTGTGCATTTCTTAGGATAAATTCTTAGAATTTCTGGGGTGAGATTTATGAGTATTTTGCACAATGATATATAATGACAAATTATTCTTCCAAAAAGTTGACCCAATTAATACTTACAGTAATGATAATTAGGAATTTCTGTTTCTATACTCCCTGATCTGTTAGGTTCATTTTTATTGTTTATTTTCTTTCTATAGTATTGGTATCTACAGTTGTTCCACATGAGTGATTCAGCCATTATAACCTATGTGGTCATATGGGCTGTCAGTTTTCCATGTAATTTTAGTGACTCATTAGCATTGAGTTAGCATCTGAATTATCTATAAAATGGACAATTTTCAGGGCTGGAAGATATACAATAACTCAGTGGTACAGCAGTTTCCTAGCATACATGAAACACTGGGCTTGATCCCCAGCACTGAAAAATAAATAAAATGGAAAATTGAAATAGATATAAATTTTTGCAAAATATACTTTCATTTTAATCAGCACATAGTAAGTGTATATACTTATGGAGTTCAAGGCAACATTTTAGTAGTGGATACCATGTGTAATGGTCGGATCAGGGTAACTGACACATCTGTTGCCTCAGACATACATCATTTGTGTTTTTCAGAATTATCAAGGTAATTACTTTTTATTGCTCGTTATGAAATAATAACAAAGAGAAAATAATTGTCCTTTGGCTTTCTCTCCTCTTTTTGGCCAGCTGATTTTTCATATATTTTTGCATTTTCAATGTTTACAGAGTGCAGTGGACATTTAAGCAATATATACAATATGTAATGAGCAAATCGGGGTATCTGATACATCTCTTTCTACTTTATATTCTGTAGCTGTAGATTTTACAATTGATTAGCTTTGGTTTCTAAATACTGGTTTTCAACACTGTCATACAATATTTTCACTGAAAATATATTAGGAAATGTTGTTTCTGAGATTTCTATTTGAGAAATTCTGATTTTGATTGATCTGGAACAGAACTTAGTAATAAGTATTTTTACAAAGTCCCCAGGTGATCCTAACCCATAACCGGGCTTGAGGACCACCAATCTATGTAGGTTCAGTATTCATTTTTATATCATTTTCCTCATGGTGAGTCCTTATAGTGGATTTTTGTCATGAAGTAATTTTTTTTTTCAAGAAAGGTTAATAGGTAGTAGGTTTCCTGAGCTTCTGCATTTTGATAAAGATTTGATATAAAACTCCTTGTTTTTGATTTGATATAAAACTCCCTGTTCTCATTACTCTCCAGGAAGTCCAAATATGGGTGTCACACCTCTCTTCTTGACACTGACTGCTATACAAAGACAAACACCTTAATATTTCTCCTCCTCAGGTAATTACTTACTTTGCAGTTGTTCTCTCTCTCTTTCTCTCTCTCTCTCCTTCTTTCACATTCATGCACACACTTTTTAACTTTGAAGTTCAATAACCCCATTAAGTTGTATCTTCTAATGTACATAGTCCAATTGCCTTCACTTTAGGAATAACAATTTTGATTACATATTATATTATATATTTTTATTACATATTATATTATATTTTCCTAACTTACAGACATTTAATCATGCAAACATGGGGGCTTTATTGTCCTATTTCCATATTATAAACTTTTTCCTTTACTTCTGTGATTTTCTACCCTGCATTTTGTACTATTAAACTGATTCTTCATACACAGAACAGTTTTCAGAGGTATTTATTCTATTCTTACTGCTTTAAATTCAGACTTAATTTCTAAAATAACTTTGTTATTTTCTCCTGAGCTCTGCTGAATCATTTTTCAATATCTTCTTATCATTTCTTCTTTGAACAATAATTCCTTCTTGTACTTTTAAATATATATATTTTAGCTATATTAAGGATATTCAAAAAAAATTGCTTATTTTTTCTGTTCCTATAGCAATTCTTCTTCATAAAAACATTATGTGTCCTTCCTTCCACTTATAATTTTTTTACTTTTAATTGGCAAAGAGTAATGGACAAAAATATGGAATATACAACATATAATGATCAGATCAGGATAATTTGTTTATCCTTCACGTCAAGCATTTATCATCTGTTTGTGTTGAGAACATGCAACATCCTTTGTACTAGCTATTTTGAAATATTAATTGTCAATTCTATTTTCCCACTAATATGCTATAGAACATTAGAAGTTATTTTTCCTGTGCAACTTTGCCCGTGTACCTACTATCTTCTCTGTGTTCCTCTACCCCACCTAATGTCCTCTATTTGTCGAGTTTTGCTTTTATTACCTATTCTTTTGATGTCTTAGGCAGAAAATGGAATTATGTCAAACTAAATACTTCTGTACAGCAAAGGAAACAATCAACAGAGTGAAGAGATAACTTGAAGAACGGGAGAAAACTCATTCATCTGACAAGGAATTAATGCATAGAATTCATAAAAAACACAACAACAAAACAATGAAATAATCCAATCAAAATAGGCAAATGACTTGAATCGACATTTTTCACAAGAAGATATATAAATGACTAGCTAATAAGTGCATAAAAAATGCTCAACATCACTAATCATAGGGGAAATGTAACTCAAAACCATGAGATATCATTTGAGTGCAGTTAGAATGGGGGTTAGCGAAGAGAAAAAATAATAAATGATAGTGAGGATGTGAGGAAAGAAGGCAATTCTCGTACACTGTTCATGGGTATGTCAACTAGTTTAGGCTTTATAGAAAACAAGATGGAAGTTCCTCTAAAAACTAAAAATAGAACTGCACAACCCACCAATTTTACAACTGGGTATATATCCACAAGAGAGGAAATCAGTATGTCAAAGAGACTTCCCTTTATAATTTTAAATGCATTTATCCAAAGATACCTACATTGGAGAATTTTTTTTTAGCATTGGGGATTGAGCTCAGGACCTTCACTCTGAGCTACATCTTCAGTCCTTTCCCTTTTTTTTGGGGGGGGGGGGACAGGTTCTTGCTAAGTCACCACATACTCAGGCTGAGCTTGAACTTGTGATACTCTCCAGCTTCAGCCTCCCAAAGTACTGGGATTATAAGCATGTGTGGCTTGTGATTAATTTCTCAACAAGTAAAGTCATATTCAAATTTCCTTGAAAATACCGCTTGTGTGCATGTGTTTCAGTGAACTCATGGCTGTCGATACACTCAAAAGTTTATTTATCAAGATACTTGCCCATGAAATCTCTCTAGGTCCTCCATTTGGGTCACATCCTTTCAAATAAAGGAGACTATTTTGCCAAAAAATTGCATGGCACACCGTGAATTTGTCAGCTTATAGAAAATGCTTGCTAATTTAGGATTTAATTTACCCACACATTCTCCTTCTAGGTTTCCTCCCAAAAAAGTTAAAGCCACTGTATTATAGTGATACACACATAGTTATGTTTATAGCAACACAAATCATAATAGCTAAATCTTGGATGTGGCCAATATATCCATAAACAAATGAAAAGATAAAGAAAATGTGGTATTTACACACAATGGATTAGTACATTGCCATAAAGAAGGATAAATTTAAGTCACTTGTGGGAAAATGAATATACCTTGAAACCATAATGTTAAGTGAAATCAGACAAACAAACTTACATGTCATATAATTTCTCTCATGTGAGAAACCTAAAATCAAAATGAAGAGCAAAATACAAGGCAGATAATAGGAAAAAAAAAAAAGATAATAGGAAGTAGGAAGTAAGGAGATAGATCTTTTGCAAATGTGAAGGGGATCAAGAGATGGAGGGGAGAGGAAAGGGAGATGAAGGGGAGGGTCATGGAGGGAGGGTCACAGAGGGAAGAAGAGGGAGGGGAGGGGGAAGGGAGGGTCATGGAAGGGAGGGTCATAGAGGGAAGAAGAGGGAGGGGAGGGGGAAGGGAGGGTCATAGACAGAGGGAAGAGGGAGGTGAGGGAAGGGGAGGGTCATGGAAGGGAAAGGAAAGGGAAGGTCATGGGGGGAAGAGGGAGGGGAGGGAAAGGGAGGGTCATGGATGAAGAAATAATTGAGACGTGTTGTGTACAAGCACCAGCTTCCCACTAAGAATATAACCATTATGTACTGCAAATGTGTACTAATACAAAATAAAAACTGAAAAAAAGGATTTAATCTACTTCTGCTCATTTGATACATAAGAAGCTGTGAAGATCAGCCCTTTCTCCATCCTCTCCTCTTCATCTCAGCTCACAGCCTCACTGAATGGCAAAACTGATCCATGCCACACTGGGAGCAGACACAGGTGGCTGGGACCCACCCACTTTTGAGAAATACTCTCTATTCGGAGGGGTCTCATTTCTCTATCTATGAATCTGGCTGATCTGACTTTCTCGCGTTCCTTACTCCTAAAATAGCCTTAAGATCAGTCCCCACCCATCCAGGACACCTGGGCCTCTATTTTCTTGCAGTGTAAAATAATCTGACACACCACACTCCAAGACTTTTCTACTTTACCATTCTGCTTCTTGGAGAGGAAAACTGTACTTTCACACTCTGCTAAACAAAGATCCGAGGGTAAATGGAAGAGGTGTTACCCCTTAAGAGACAGCTTTTTAATGGTTGTGTGGATAACCATGATTATACACTTAGGATTCAGACACTTTTTTGAATGTAAGTGGTTCTTCAACAAACATTTAAAAATAGCATGCAATAACGTTATACTTGTTTTAATAGGTTAGAAAGGAAGAGATCATGAAAAACATGAAAATCTGAGGAGCAGGTCTTGGGGAGCTCTTCCCTCCTTTCCTCTCACTTTCAGGCTCCCCAGACCTACTGTGAGAACCATAACTGCTGAGGACTCTTTGGAGAGATTACCTGGAATTTGTCCATTTGAGTATGCTGCAGCTGAGTGTGTAAGGGTTACTGGTGAAATAAATGATGCTTCTATGCATCAGGAAAAATAAGTCTGGAGACTGAATGAACAAAAAATAACACTCTGAGAAAATAAATACATTTGGCAAAAGTAGGGGAGCCTGCTACACAAATATGAGGTGGGCCAGGGCTGGATGAACACTACGGCCCAGAGACAGCAAGGTTTGGAGATAGGAGCCAAGAAAGGATAGCGTTGATGACAACCCAAAGTGGAAGTTAGGAACAGACTTCTGATGGGGTTGGTAAGAGAAGGATCTGGCTGGTCATGGGTAGAGGTAGGAACCCAGGTCTTACCAGTGACAGAGAGGCTCACAGTCTTACTGCGCTTGGGGCCAGAGCCATTGTCTGCTGTGCAGTAATAGTTCCCAGAGTGCTCTGCGGTCAGAGAGAAGCTGTAGGATGCTTCAGTACCAGCGCGCACTGAGCTGAGCTCCTGCAAGACGTCCACATGATAGAACCGGTACAGGATGGGGAGAGAACCTCTCTGGGCTTCACAGTGAAGTGTCACCACGTCTCCCTCAATGGTCTCGGCTTTAGCAGTGCGGAGCGTGAGGACCGGCTGGGACACTGGGACTGAAAGAGAGAAAATGAGTCGAAAGTCATTGTCGCCCTTACCACAGATTTCAGTCTGCTGCCAATGCAAAGGCTCAGAACCTAGTCTCTGCCGGGCCTCAGGGCAGCCAAACAATCTCCCAGGCTTCTCTCCTCAGCTCTTTCCTGTTCTTGCTGATCTTTCCCTGGCTGCTCCTTTCCCTTTAGGTCTCCCCACTGGCTTCCCTGTGAGGTGACCTAGTTCCTTTTTGCACAGAAGATGACATCTTTAGGAAAGAAGTCCCTTATGTTGATTTCACCAGACCTACACCCTTCCTGCACCAGCTTCTTTATCCTTCCTTCTGCCCGGAGACCATGGAAGAGTTTTCCTCATGTCAACCTAAATAGCAACCAGAGAAGATTGCGTCTACATTTAAACAGACAGTTTCTGGGCAAATGTTCATATGAAGGTATTTTTTGTGCAGGACCCTTGCAGGCCCTCTGTGTAGTACTGTGGTCTGGGTATAGTCTTTGGTGAACAGTTCTTGTCCTCAGACACACATGCATGAGAGCCCCTTCTTCATAATCTCCTGGCTATATGTATTTATTTTGGCTACGGCTTGACAAAATGACTCCATTTTGACTTTGCCAACTTTCACTCCTGTCTTCCCACAGTGGATTCTCCGCTGTGGTATGACCCTGTGCCCACTGGCCTCTAACCTGGATGTAAAATTCCTTCTGCCTGTATTGTCTTCCTCCAAACACCGTCTGGGTGTGCAATTCTCTCCATGTTAGCAAACAATAAAATGACACAAAAACCACCTTGTTTGTGCTTAATCTTCCCCATACTGTCTTTCTCCTCTGTTTCTATGGACACATTTCTGGGAAAAGAGCTTCTCTTCTTTAACAATGACTCATTTTATGTTGGTGCAATCCTGTCATTACTCCAACCAACCTACCTATGTTGATATTTCTTATTTATAAATATAATCATGATAAGGAAAATACCAAAAATAAAAGATGCTTCTTATACTGAGAAAGTAGTGCTTTTAACTCTCTGGTCTGCATGCAAACTGATCATATATAATTCATAGTTATATCTATGTAGACTCAAAGTATTTTTCAAAACATTTCAAAACACTAGTAGGTCCTAGTGATTCTGTCTTACAGATGAGGAAACTGAGGTTCAAAGAGGTTAAGTCATAAATTAGTAAGTGATGAGATACCAATCAAAGCCTGGTATTCTAGCTATGATCTATGTTCTTCTGCATGTGGCTAAATTCAGTGTGTGTGTGGCTGAATTCATAGCTTTCATCATCTTTGATCTTAGCCTCATCTGAATTGGCCACTATCTTTTGCACAAGGCATTTTGTTCCTCTGGATTCGGAGGCACACACTCTCCTAGTATCTTTCTCAGCCAGATTTCTTCTTGGTGTTCTTTCTTCTGGTGGTTGCTTCAGTGAGTCGGGGAGTAGAGAGGACAGTGAGCTGCCCCAAGGAAGAAGCAGAGGAAACTGGAAGGTGGGAACACATTTCTAACAGCGCCGGGGAAGTGGGATGAGCCAATGATGTGGTGTGAGGAAACCCAAGGCTTACCAGTGACTGAGAGTTTCAGGGCCTCACTGCGTTTGGGGCCTAAGCCATTGTTAGCTGTGCAGTAGTAGTTCCCAGAGTGTTCTACAGTCAGAGAAACCATGGCCAACCTTGAACTGGATTTTATGGTCCAAAGGATTGCATTTTCACGAAGAAACTGGTACAAGATCTCGGGAGAACCTTTGTTGACCTCACAGCAAAAGTTCACTCGCTCTCCCTCCAGAAATTTGGTCTTCCCAGTGCTGAGGGTGAGAACTGGCTGGGACACTGGGACTGAGGGAGAGGAAATGAAAAAAAGTCACTTCTGCTTCTTACACAAATTTCTGTTGGTGGCAAATGCCAACGGCCAGAGTTCAGTCACAGTGGGTTGTTAGGGCCGCCCAGCAAACTCCCAGGCTTCTCTTATCACCTGCCTCCTGTCCTTGTTGATCTTTCCCTGGCTGCTCCTTTTCCTTGAGGTCTCTGACTTATTCCCCTCTGGCTTCCTTGTTAGGTGTCCTATTTCCCTTTTGCACAGAAGATGACACCCTCAGGGAAGAATTCCCTTATGTTGATGTCACCAGACCCACTCCCTTCCTGCACCAGCTTCTTTATCCTTCCCTCTGCCCTGAGACTATGGAAGAGCTTTTCCTCATATTAACCTAAATACCAACCAGAGAAGGTGGGATCTACATTTAAACAGACAGTTGTTGGGCAAATGTTCATATGAAGGTATTTTTTGTGCCAGATGCTTGCAGGCCCTCTGTTTGGTATTGTGGTCTGGGTACAGTCTTTCGTGAACAGTTCTTGTCCTCTGACACTTGCATGAGAGCCCCTTCTTTATAATTTTCTGGCTTTAATCATTTATTTGGGCTAGGGCTTGACAAAACCACTCCATTTTGACTTTGCCAACTTTCACTCCTGTCTGCCCACAGTGGATTCTCCACTGTGGTATCACCCTGTGCCCACTGGCCTCTAACCTGGATGTAAAATCCCTTCTGCCTGTATTGTTTCCCTCCAAACACCGTCTGGTTGTATAATCCTCTCCATGTTAAAAAAACAATAAAATGACACAAAAACCACCTTGTTTGTGCTTAATCTTCCCCATAATGTCTTTCTCCTCAGTTTCCATTGACAGATTTCTGTGAAAAGAGCTTCTCTTCTTTTCTAACCACTCATTTTATGTCCTGTGCAGCCCCATCATTACTTCAACCAATCTACCAAAGTTGGTACTTCTTGTTTATAAATATAATCATGATAAGGACAATATCAAAAACAAAAGATGCTTCTTATACTGATAAAGTAGTGCTTTTAGCTCTCTGGTCTGCATACAAATGGATCATATAAAATTTATAACCACACCTATGTAGACTGAAAGTATTTTTCAAAACACTATCAGGTGTTAGTGTTTCTGTTTTACAGATAAGGGAACTGAGGTTCAAAGAGGTTAAGTCATAAACTAGTAAGTGATGAGATACCAATCAAAACCTGGTACTCTAGCTATGGTCTGTGTTCTTCTGCATGTGGCTAAATTCAGTGTGTGCGGCTGAATTCTTAGCTATCATCATCTCTGAGCTCAGCCTCATCTGAATTGGCCACTATCATTTGCATAAGGCATTTTCTTCCTCTGGATTCTGAGGCACACACTCTCCTAGTATCTCTCTCAGCCAGGTTCCTTCTTGGTGTTTTCTCCTGCACTGCTGCTTCAGTGAGTTGGGGAGTAGAGAGAACAGTGAGCTGCCCCAAGGAAGAAGCAGAGGAAACTGGAAGGTGGGAACACATTTCCAGCAGTGCTGGGGAAGTAGGATGAGCCAATGATGTGGTGTGAGGAAACCCAGGGCTTACCGGTGACTGAGAGCTTCAGGGCCTCACTGCGTTTGGGGCCTAAGCCATTGTTAGCTGTGCAGTAGTAGTTCCCAGAGTGTTCTACAGTCAGAGGGAACCTGGCCAAACTTGAACTGGTTTTTGTCTTCCAAAGGATTGCGTCTTCATGAAGAAACTGGTACAAGATCTCGGGAGAACCTCTGTTGACCTCACAGCGAAAGTTCACTCGCTCTCCCTCCAGAAATTTGGTCTTCCCAGTGCTGAGGGTGAGAACTGGCTGGGACACTGGGACTGAGGGAGAGGAAATGAAAAACAGTCACTTCTGCTTCTTACACAAATTTCAATTGGTGGCCAATGCCAGTGGCCAGAGTCCAGTCTCTACGGGCTGTCAGGGCCGCCCAGCAACCTCCCAGGCCTCTCTCACCATCTGTCTCCTGTCCTTCTTGCTCATCTTTCCCTGGCTGCTCTTTTGCCATCAGACTTCTGGCCCCTTCCCTCCTGGAACCCTTGTTAAATGATTTGCTTCCCCTTTGCAGAGAGATGATGCCCTCAGGGGAGAAGTCCCTATGTTGCTGCCACCAAACTCACAGTCTTGCTCTGCCAGCCTCTTGCTCTTTCCCTCTGACCCATCGCTATGGAAAAGCCACTGCTTGCCTCCACATCATTGTGAGGATTTGTCACTCCCTGTTCTTGGATCTACCACAGGGTTCTGCTTTTGCCCCCTTTCCTCTCCAAAACCATGCGTTCTTTGAGGGCCCTCTCCCTGCACTCAGACTGATTCTGTCTATTTACATGAAATGTAAGTTGGGAGAGTGTAGGCAATGTCTACAGATGGCGTTTCCAGCCTGTGTGGTAGCGCACACCCTGACCCTCACTGTGACTTCTGATGCTCAGAGCTCACTCCTGGTGGAGAGTGGCTTCTCCTACTGGCTGGGTCCCCAGGCCATGGTCTGGGTACAGACATCGTTCCTAAAATGGTCTTTGAGCGAAAAATGTTGAGGGAGGTTCCTTTCTAGGGGAGTGTTTTCCTCAGAGTTTCATCTTTATGATAAAACTGATACAGGAAGGGGAAGAGCTTCCAAGGCTCCAAAGTGAAGCTCTGCCACATCCTCCAAGGCAAATTGTGCTATGGGAGCTCTGGTAGGAAGGAAATGATGTGTCACTGGGACTCATAGAGACAGGGAGGTGGTCAAGGGGGGTCATACAACTCCTTCAATTAAGGGGGCTCAAGAGACATGATCCTAAATCAGTCATGGTTCTAATATCCTGTTTGTTCTACCTTTATTCTCAAGAACCATTTTCACTTAAACAGAGAAGGAGTTTGTGAACATGAAGGGTTGGACATATGCCTAATCACTGAGCAGCTTTAAAAGTCTCCATTTCATCTGGGTGTGGTGGCAATGGCTGTAATCTCAGTACTGTGGGGGACTGAGGCAGAAGATCACCATGAATTTGAGGCCAGTGTAAGCTACATGGTAAGTTCAAGGACAGCCTGGGCTGCAAGATCTTGTGTCAGAAAACCAAAAAATACCCACTAAAACAAAAAACAAAACTCAGTTTCCATAGCCTCTTCCACCCCTTTTTCTTGCTCATCTTTAACTCACTCCTGGCAGGTTGTTCAAAGCAGTGAATTATTAATAACAATTAACATCCACTCCCACTCATTGCCTATAGTCTGCAACAGGGATCCCTGCATGCAGTTGATCATCTAGTCTTCAAATGACACCTGGCAGAACCCACCTTTCACTTTGATGACCACTGGCTTGCTGGTAAACTGTCCACCTTTACAGTAATATTCCCCTTCATGGCTGCTTTGCACTATAGAGATCTTGTATTTTGCTTCTGAGAATATCTTTTCGTCCTTATTCCATATTCTTTTTTTATACCAGGAGAACTTAATGAACCTTGGGTCCATTTCTACTAAGCAGATGAGCAGCAGCTCCTGCCCTTCAATGACAGACTCTGAGGCTGAGTGTGTGGGTATGCGGACTTTGGCAACAGCTCCTAAATAAATAAAAATGACATGTGTGGGAGTCTTGACAGTGGGGTGCTGAAAGATCCAGAAGAATCATAGGATGAGAAGGGAAAAATCTGCTAGTCTCATGTGGGAAGTTGGAGTTAGCCTTGCCCTTGGGAAGAGGTAATCTGTGGTCCCTGTCTTCCTGGAGAGGCCCTCTACTCCCTAAGGGTCTTGGGAAGAAACATAAGTAGGAATAGAGGCAATCTGCTGTTCCCATCTGAGATGGTATGGTTGGGGGTCATGATGCCAGCATAGGAAAGTGCCTTTCATGCTATCCTCAGGTTCTGGAAGAATAAATGAAGATAACTGAACAGAGGAGAAGGGCTTGTGGTTGGGGTTCCACAAGTTATGCTGTGGGGTGGGGGAGGCCATGCTAGAAATTATTGTGCTGTAACTGTTGGTTAACACCTTCTCTATCTTCTCTGAATCATTTTTCCCTTAAACTCAAGAACTCAGAAACATCTGTTTCCTATAACTGCAGAACAGACCAATAGAAATCAGCAAGTTTAGAAAAACAGTTATAAAACTGTTTTGTTTTTCTTAAAGAGGGGAATAAGTCTATTGGAAATGCTCACTTTCACTCTTTTCCTGCTCAGGAAAGTGAACACCCTAGTCTCTGTCCCTTCTTAATTCTCAAATAGATTTCTCAAGAGACAAACCGGATGTAATGAGGGAACACATTTGTCCATTGGCTAATAGTCATGCTTGAGAACGTACACAATTTCAGAAATTTAGGAAAAAGTGATGGTGTGGTACCATCTCCAGGGGCATCAAGTTGGAACTGTTTAGTTTCCAGACTTTCATCCTTTGGTTTTCTAGTCTGGCGTAGCCTGCTCCAGGCACCTGGAGTTGTAGGAGTCTATTCACCTGGTTGAGCGCAGTCTGCTCAGGTCAGTCAGAGCACTCTGCTGAGGCACAGAGTTTATGCCTGTTGGCCTCAGAGGAACCAAGGCATGTCAAGGGAGAGAGAAAAGAAAGTTCCTCTTCTGAGAGAAAGGAAAAGGCTGTGTCTAAGAGCATTGGAAGGAAATGTAAGTATTGTTTTTTTGGCTTTCCTCATTCTAAGCTCTTCTAAGATATCCACAAGAGCCAGGCTGTCTTCTCTTGTGCAGCTCCTTTTCTCACAGAATGAGAACCCCTTTCCACATGGAGCAGTGACCCAAATGGATATGTGATTCTGAGTAACTGCTCCAGACATATTCCCAGAAAATCTCGGAACGCATGGATACTCACTCTGCACACGAATTTGGGATACACGGCTCTCTTTCCAAACACTGGAAATCACCGCCCCTGCCTTGCACTGGTAGATCCCTGAATATTCAGGCCAGATGGCAGAAATCTGGAGTTCTGGGTTGTTAGTGCAGCCTGACTCCAGGGCCTTGTTATTTCTGAAGAAGCAGAACTGGAGCATGACATCTGACTTCTGAGGAGAGAGCTGGGTCTTACAGGTCAGGGTCACTTGGGTCCCATCTTTGGACTGAGAGAGGCTATCCGTCAGCACAGGACTTGAAAACAGCTCTAGAGAGAAGGATCACAACAGTCCCTGGAGGAATGAGGCTTGGAAATGTTCTGGAGAAAAACACAATTCATTCTCAGCACCACCAAGTGGAGCTGTGGGGCTGCTACCTTCTACCAAAAGCAAGTAAGGGGAGTTATGGTGGTGCCATGTTTGATTCTTAATCTTTTCCAGCCCAACACACTGTTACACTTTCTCTCAGTGTATCTCAGCCCACCTCACTCTTCCTGTTCTACCACCTCAGGGACCCTTGGTTTCACTAACCCATTCACAAAATAATAAATGCTTTACCTTGGACTTGGATTTTGACCGTATTGGAACGAGCTCCGTAGTGAAGATTTTTCCTAACTCCAGTACAGTGATATTCACCATTGTCCCTCAGACTTGCTCGATGAATGTTGAACTCAGTGTTTTTACCAAGTAATGCCAGTAATTCACCATCCTTATAAATTTTGATATTGTCTAGTTCTGTTTGTGCCCTTGCCCGGCACCTCAGAACCGCAGAGTCTCCTTCAAACACAAAGAGTGGAGTTTGCAGGACCAGTGCAGCTGGAGGAAACATACAGTTAGTTAATTATTCATCCCATTGTTTCCTCTCCCTTTTCATTATTGTAAGTAGATTGTACAAGGGAGGAGGAGATTGGGAGAAAAATTAAAAGAATCATCCTTTCTTGTTTTCTGATTTTGAGATGAATACCCGTACCTTGAGAAAAGTTGGAAAGTAGTAAAAACACTTATCATCTCACACCTCATAATTCTGACATGTATTTTTCCAGTTTTCTCTGCCAGGTTCAGGTACATAATTATTTCTGTGTATCTTATTTTTCTTTTCATGAAATTGGAATAATATTTATATATCTGAAGATTTTCTTTTCACTTTCTATACTATAAACACTTTCTTATGTCACTAATATCATTGTTGAACTTGATTTTTTAACGACCTCAAAGTTTTCTATCAATGGAAGCAACATAATTTATGTGATGAGTCTTATTTTTTTTCTTTGAAGCAAGGTCTTTCTATTTTGCTTAGGCTGGCCTCAAACATGAGATCTTCTCTCCTCAGTCTCCTATGTAGCTGTGATTACTGTGTACCACCACATCCAACTTGCATCTTCTTTCTGGTAATTTAAGGTACTCTGCTTTTGAAGATATATTTATAATTGTTTCAGTAAGTAAATGTTTAAGAGAGGAATTGTTGAATCAAACAGCATAAACTTTTTTTCTTCTTGCTGCTGTATCGCTTCCTTGCTCACAAAATTAAAGAACATTATAACTAGTATGATAGACTTCAAAGTCAAAACAAATGGTTTTAGAAAAACAAATGAAATGCCTTTTATTTTCTCTTTATTTATTTATTATATCGGTCAGTCTGCCTATCTACATCTACTTATTCAACATATATTGCAACTATATATGTGAAAATCTTCATGGTACTTATTATGTCAATCAAATAGTATGGCTTAAATCTATACATCTTGTCTCAAAGTACAGGAACCATTCAAATGAATTACTTCTCAAATTTCCTTTTACCCGAGGAGCTTGTAAAGAATTGTTAATTTCCTACCACTTTATTTGTAACTCTGTATTGTCTGTACTGTTCTTTTGCTATTTTGTAAGAGGTTGTCTGTCTGTTAATGTTTTCCTCCTCTTATTTTTAAAATAAAAAAATTTTTTAAAAAAATTATATTCTTGGGACCTACTTTCACAGATTTTGATTCAGTACATAGAGGGTAGGCCCTGAATATCTGTATGATTAAAAAGCTACCTAGGCTTTCTATGTCAGATTGAATTTTAAGAACAACAGGTTTAGAGGCATTAATCCACTCTGTAGAAATTGCAATGAGCGGGGTGTAGTGGTGCAAACTTGTACTTCCAGCACCCTGAGGCTAAGGTAGGAGGATTGAAAATTTGAGCCTATCCTGGGCAACTTAGTGACAGAGCAAGACCTTGCTCAAAATAAAAATGTACAAATACAGAATTTAAAGTCCTTGAACTTAATCTCTCTCACACACAAAAATTTAGTGTTTGACTCACCCACAACTTTAGCTTATATATGACAATTATGTCCTTTTGGACACACTATTCCAAGTCACTGCCCATTGAGTTTTATCTAGAGGATTTAAACTTTCTTAATTTTTATGATTAAATTTGGGAAGGCAATTCTATTACCTATCTGGTTTTATACCAAATTATTTAACTCCTTCTCTGTCCAACTGTAGTGTGGAATGAAATTGGTCACTCATAAGTCATCTGAAGGAAATAATGGTGACAGCTAGAAAGAAAAATGGGCTAAAATTATTTATAAAGTTCATTTCTATTACATTTTTCCTAACCTGCAACAAAATCCAAGTGCACAGGGTCACTCACAGACGAGCTGCCAACCCAGCATCTGTAATCTCCCAACTGTTTGACCTCCAGGGTGTTTCCTTCGGTTTCCGTTAATAATCTATGTCCATGGTACCACTTTATTCTCCCTGGTGAAGAAAAGCTAAATCCACTGCAAGTCAGATTCACTGTCTCTCCTTGAAAAACCGGAGTCCATGGAGGATGAAGGAAGATCACAGGTTTGGGTGCAGTTGCTGCGGAGGAGAGAGAAATGCATGTGCGGTAGAGGTGGCTGTGGTTCCAGCTGCAGAGATTCTGTGCATAGATGGGAGGACCTGGTTCTGGACAGTCCCTAGGAGACCCTGTGAGAGGGTCATTCATGGCTTATGGCTGTCTGTCAGCCAGCAGCACTCACTTCCTCCCACAGAGAGTGATTACTTGGGGGATGCCAATGAGCAAAATCTCGTCAAGGGAGTAAAATGTAGTATTCACTGTCATGTTTGCACTCAGGCGGTTGTGTAAGTGGATTCCAGGGAAAAATCACCCCTACCTCTGCCACCTCATCCTGGTCCTAAACCCAGAAGAACTTACACAGGCACTGGTAAAATCACAATTTTGCATTTTCCTAAAGTAATAAATAATTGCATCAAAAGATTTTGGCACTGAAGAAACCCTGAGAGATCACCTCGCCTAATGGCTTCATTTTATAGATGATGATTGAAATACCCAGAAAAATCCCAATCATATCTAACTGTGGTAGAACAAGAAGTGGTAAAGTCTTCTGCTAGAATCCCTGGACAAGGGTCCAGGTGTGGTAGTTGATCTTGGACAAGAGGGGTTGTAGAAAATTCTTGCTATTTATGGGTCCCCAGATACCTAAGACACTCTGACCTAGAAGAATAGCTATGAATCAGAATTCAGAAAATGTGTAATACTGATAAGCTTGCCTTTTCTCCAAGTCTCTCTTTTTTGTATATTTCTTCCTTGTGAAGACCCAGTTGTTAGATGTTCCACTCCTCACACATTTCCTGGAGGATTTCAGTCCTAAAACTGGCATCTCTATCATGTGATATTTTCAGACAAGTTTTCCTGGCTTGCTGATTGGACAGGACCTCTCCTGAGTCCTGCATATTTACCATGGAGCTGAAAGTGTCCTATCTGGCTAAGTGGGGTCCATTTGCATGAGAAGTAAATACAGGGCTTAGAAAAGGCCAGCAGCTGTCTGTTCCTCCACCACATCACCCAGGGAGGTAGAGGTTGACTGTGAAACTACCCTGGTTCTTAGGCAATGCCAAGAGATCAAGCATCACTTCCACATCCCTGATGAGCTTGGCAAAACAATGGGAGATGTTAGGGATCCTCAGGTAACCATCACAAATATTTTAGACTAGGGAGACACTGTTATCCAGAGACACACAAGAGCCAAAGCAAGGAGAACTCACCAACTTGTCCACTGGCAGGAGCTGCAAAGGAAATGTAGAACCAGACATGAGCACAGAGCAGGGATTCTTTGGCTTTTCAAAGATGATACATTTCCCTCGTCCATTTACTATATTTTTTTCATTTAAAAATTCGTTTCTAAAATGTTAGTAATGATTTATCAAATGTGTGTACATCTAAGGCATGAGGCTTAGATTTCTAAGATAAATGAAAGATGGTATCTGCTAGCAGCGAGTTGACCGGTGGGGCAGACAGAAACATGATGCTAAATAATATCATGTAAATTTGATGCCCAGTGCTGTAATTGACATACACATGGGGTGTCTTGAGGGCAGAAGGGCCATTCAGTTCAGTGTACGGAGTGTTTGTGTGTATTGAATAGAAAGGGGAGTGGGCCATGGAAGGCACCCCAAGGAGGTGACTCTTGAGAAAACTGACTGAGAACGTAGGAGCTAGCCAGGTGAGGTTTAGGGTTTGTGTGTGGCAAGAGATGATAGGGAAGCGACTCAAGGCAGGAAGGCACAGAAAGGAAGATAGGACACTAGTGTTCAAGAGCTGCAGGAGTCCAAAGTTTAAGGAGTCATGGGACCAAGAAGAATGCAGGGCCCAAATAAGTAGCTCTCATTTCATAAAAGCCATGGAAAGATTTCAAAGAGCGTGATACAGCTAGAACTGTCAACTTCTATGGTACGCTCTGGCAGAGGGCAGCCTTCAGTGAGACAAGCTGGGCATCTTAGATCACATGGTGAGGGATGATGATATTAAATTTTCTGTAGAGTGTTGATCCCAGATTATCCGAATTATTTGTTTGTTTGCTTGTGCATGGTTGTTTTCATTGTTTTCCCATTTGCAGAGTGCAAGCCTTCTGAGATCAGGACTTCTCTTATGTTCACTAGATAATCTTTCAGAACCTAGAGCAGTCCCTGACACATAAAAGGCATTCCTTAAATATTTGCTTATTGAAATAATGAATCAAATGAAAGGGCTAATTAGTAAGAGTTGAGATAGGATACAAGTTTGAGAAGTGAATATTGAGGGGGAAAAGGAGGAAAATTGACATATTTATAAATTGAGTATATTGAAGAGAAACATAAATAAAACATTAGCAGTTATGCTCATTATACATTTGGAGACTTTTTACTCGCTCTCATCACTGTCTTTAGTCCCAAGAAAGGAAGCCCTGAGCTACATAGTAAAACCTGAAAATACATTTCCTTATGTGGGAAAGACTCTCGGAGCAGGGGAGTCTGGGCCCCATGGACAGCGAAGGTCTGTGGTGGAAAAAGAAGCTGCCTCAACTGACCCAGCCCCATGTTGAGCCCTCTACTCACCCAGAACCAGTAGCGTTGCCCACAGCAACATGAAGACTGGAACAACCCGCAGCTGAGACCAAGAAGTTTTTGCAAGAATATCAGATTTGATCTTAATCTTATAGTTAATACACTGTTCACATCAGCCCTGAGGAACACATCTGAGAAACTGCTTTTTCTGCAAAATAAATTAGTATATCAGAAAAAAGGAAGTGAGAGCCCGGTCCATATGTACTTGTCAAAGTTTCCTGCCCAATGGTTAAAGTGAGAAAAATCAATGTTAAGGTTTTTTAAAAAGCACATGTTCTTAAACCCATATTTCAGCGATTGGGAAATTACCGTAAGGAAAGTACATCATGATTATTCTATCAATAATCAGAATGTTTATTGCGGCATTATTCACTACTGCTTAAACACAGGAAGCATCTTAAGAGAATGTGTACATGAGGCAATTTAACACCGTTCTGATCCATCTGCACAGGGACAAGAACAAAGCCATTAAGACTGAGGTAAACCTAGTCCATGCTAAGTTGGCAAGAGCACCTTGATTAACGAAAGAGAAAAAAGGGAGGTGTAGATTGATTTACCGTATGTGCTTTAGGATCAATGTAAAAAAATAGCACATGTGTGTTTGTGAAAGAGTATAAGTACACAAAAACTAATGGTTACATTTGAGGAATTTCATGTCTATGCTGTTGGAGTTTTACAAATGACCACCCGAATGTACAGATTTTATACTTTATAAAAGTCAAATTTTTATCCCAGCATATGGGTCAACAAATGTTCCAAAGATATTAGCTGCTCTGAGGAATGACAGTTTCTTTCAGATAATTGTTCCCATGTTCTTTTTCATACTTTTTTTCTACTTAAAGAACATTTAATGCTAAAACAAATAGTGTAGCTCTGAACATTCTCATATGTCTCTGTGAGAGTGGGCACATATTTTTAGTGGTCATGCACCTGGGGGTGGAATTCTTGGCTCATCAGGTATGCCTACTTGCAGTCAGTTTATAGGGTACTGCCAAATTATTTTCCAAAGTGATAGACTCTGCCGAGCCATGTGTGGTAGTCCTCACTGCTCTAAAATCCTTGCTTCTATAGGTATTATCTTGTAAATTTTAGTCATTTATTATGCTGAGGTCACCTCAATATGGTTTTAATTTTATGTCCTTGGTGAATTATGAGATTTAGCACATTTTTATATTCTAATTAGTGATTTAGATATTATTTTTATGTGAAATACTTGTTTAAATCTCTTCCCATTGTCCTACTTGTTTTTAGTCTTTCTGCTACTTAGGTTCTTTTTTTTTTTTTTTTTTGTTTTCTCCGGTACCAGGAACCGAACTCACGACCTTGCGCTTGCCAGGCAAGCACTTTTGCCGCTGAGCTAAATCCCCAGTCCCTACTTAGGTTCTTTTAATAGATTCTTTGTTATATGTACGTATTGTAAAAGTCTCTCTCCAATCTGTGACTTCTCTTTTTGTTGTTTGATAGGACCTTCTGGTGAAAAACATTCTAATTTTGATGTAATCCAATTCATCAATCTTTTCCTTTCTCATGAAATATTTTCACAATTCCCTCTGTTCATTTTTGTCTACTCCAAGACCTTGAAGATATCCTAGGTTGTCTTCCAGAAACTGTGTTTATTTTATATCTTTAATATCATTGTAAATAATTTTCATAGCCTGAGTGAACATTTACATTCACTTTTAATGCATATGAAGACAGCCAGTTTACCCAGTCTTATTTATTGAAAATTGATTTATTCTACAATTCAGAACAACATTGTATTTGTCATAAAACAGGAAACTGGGTGAGTTTGTTTTTGGAGACAGTTTTCTGTTCTATTTGTCTACTTCACACCAATACCACATTGTCCTACTTGTTGTCACTTTATAATAAATCTTATTATCAGCTAGTTTACGTCATATATTGCTTTTGTTTATGAAAATTGTCTTCTCTATTTTTGGTTCTTTGTATTTTCTTTGTTTTTCAAAATCAACCTTGTAATCTTTCAATTTTTAAAAATCAACTTGTCAGTTTCTATCCTTATCTAACCACAGACCCTGCATAACCGTGGCTTTACTTTCTTGTTCTCATGTTTGTATGAGCATTTAGAAGAACCCTGGAGGTGACAAATCTATTTCTCATATAAAAGGAATGTAAATGTCTGCAATCGGAGATTGTGGACAGTCTCCTAAGATGATAAATGAAAATTCCTTTCATAGTTGTATGCTGTTCTTCTCACTAAGAAAGAAAGTCCATATTCATTACCCTGGAACCTACCTGGCCTCCTGATTTGCTTTGACCAACAGAATGTAGAAGTAAAGCTGTGCAAATTTTGAGCCTAGTCCTTGAAGCTTGGCAATATGTTTTTGTTTTCTTAGAGCCCTGAACTACCATGTAAGGAAACTGTCATAAATGAGAGACTCCCAGGCAGCCCAACTGTTCCTACCATCCCAAATAAAGCATGAGACATGTAGATTAAGCTAACTTGAGTGTTCCTACCTGACTTTCAGTCCCTGATGAATGAGGCCACATTAGTGATCCCCAAATAACTCAGATGCCTGGTTGAGCAAGCAATAGATAACAGAGATGAACTTATTCTATCTTCTTTAGGAATTTTTAAGTCACTAAACAATAATGTACTTTTGCCTTAAAGTTTATTTTTCCTAATAGATCAAACTTGTTTAACATGTATAGAACACTATTTAAACCTACATCTTTGCAAATTTTAGTCCACCTCTGTCTTGTTTTCTCTTATGGCATAACTCTTTTTTTATGCATGCCTGTTCTAATATTATGGCCCTCTTTCTAATTTTCATGTTTTATTTCTCTTCACTGTTATCCATTGGCTACTACTTCATGATAGAGACATTTACTGCTCCCCAAATAGCCATTTACTCCATGTTTCCCAGCCCCGTGCTGTAGAGGACATGTGACTTGTGTGTCCAATAGTCAAGTGAAAATGATATATACTATTTCCAGGCTGAAATATACAAGCACAGGTATGAAGTGCCAATTCATCACTTTCTTGGCTTCAAGAAATAATTTATACCTCAAGTGATATAGATAGTGCAGTTATAAAATGGTGATGTTTCTGTCAGCTTCCAACTCATGTTGGAAATACCACTAAAATTAGAATAATGATTTTTGGAGGGAAGTGTTGTTTTGTTTTGTTTTGTTTTGTTTTGTTTTGTTTTGTTTTGTTTTGTTTTGTTTTGTGACAGCATCTCACTATATTGTCCAGGCCAGTCTTGAATTTTTAAGCTAAAGAAATCCCCTGTACTCAAACTCCTCACATCGCTACAGGCATCATCTACTACCCCCAACTTAAAGTAGGCTTTTACTTGTATGGGTTGAGTCACTCGGTTTTAGGAAATGATTATTACCACAGTACAAATTGTTCTTTCCAGGTTAAAACATACTACAGGATTAATTCCAGATTGCCATACTGTTTCCAGACTTATTAGAAACTATTTCAGTATTCTTCATTTAAGGCAAATCTGACTTTTGTCTTGATAGATAACTATTATCATAATAAGGAAGGATTCTTCTAGTTTTAAATTTATGTGCTTCAGGACCACTACTTTTACAATTATCCATTTAAAATTACAGCCGGAAGAGACTAGAGTTTACAAAGTTAACACATATTTAATAAGAGGTTACATGAAAAATGTATATCAGACTCTTCTAAAGCTATTGAAAACCTTTTCTTTTCCTTTTAAAGCCCCATGTAGATGTGTGTACAGGTCTATACTCAATATCAGCTTTATTTTTCCCTTGGTTTTGTTTGAATTTCACTGTGGTTAGAAGCAGTTTTTCAGTTTGTGGATTGGGGATGTGGCTTTTTAAAAATTCTCTTGAAGACAGAGTTTCATTTTTCAGCTTTTAAATAATTTGTGGTTGGTTCCAGAAAGTAAAATGTGGTAGATATGTTTCTATTCTGAACTGACAGGTTTTTTAAACATAATAATAGCTACCATATATTGAATGACTACTGCAACACAGTATCATACCAAATGATTTGTAAATATTACCTTCTTTAATTTTTGCATCAACATTAAAGCAGTTCAACCATGAAATAATGCAAGCAATGTTCTCAGAGGCAGATGTTGTCATCCTCCTTTTTAAAATGTAGAAAATGGTCAAGTAAATTATGTACTTCAATTTCAAGTATTTTGGAAGTCAAACAACTCAGAACAATAAGTGGTAGCACCAAGGCTAAACTTAGATGTGTCTGAGCTTCACCAAGTCAGCAAGACTCAACCATTCAGATATTCCAGCAGGGATCCAGAGGCAATGAATTTCTCTTTAAACCATCTGCAGGTTGGTAAAGTCCATGGTTAGATGATTACATCTCAAGAGCAATTAGTCAGGGCCTATTGTGGTGACAGGAAATGGAAAGTTGGTGCTCTGAAGTCTAAAAATTCACACTGAGCTATTTACAAAACACAGGTCATAGACAAAGATCTCAGCAGACCTAAAGTGATCTCAATAGTATTGGAGGACATAGTTAAGGCAGGAAGTAGGGAGGAGCTACAGTAATCTCATGATTGTTGAGTGGGCCTGGATTAACTCTCAGGGTGCTGTTAAACATTTTGGAGAAGGTATGGGGCCTCTGACTGATCAGGAACATTCTGTATGCTGATGAGGAGGGTCTCTAGCCATAGCACCTGGGAGCAAAATGATATGTAAAGAAAGAATTGATCCAAGAGTGGAGGAAGTCCTGACAATGACAACAAATGCTTACAAAGGAAAGACTTAATTGCTGACATGTTAATGTTGGATGATTTTTCCTGAGGGAAAATCTTAGGTAATGTTCTGTCATGACAGTTTGTCAAAGGAGTATAGGCTATGTCACCAGAGAGATTCAGGGCTCTGTCAATTACGAGGGAGATAACCTTGACAAATTAAGAAACTTGACTTTAAGTTTCATTTTAAAATGGAGGCTACAACGTTCACCTCATAATATTAGTGTGACAATCAAAAGGAGATGATGTTTATTTGACATATTTAAAACTCAAGCCTATGTAATGTCCAGATCTGTTCTTTCAATGTTCTAATCATTTTTTCCATGCCAGGTTTTGTACCAAGTTGCCTTTACATTGTGGTAACAGTTTCTTGTTAAAAATAATTGGGTGGGAGGGGAGAAGCTAGGGGTCCA